CTGCTGAACTGCACATAAGAAAAGACAATCTATAGTTGTGATTGATAAACTACAGCTACATGCTGTACATGGGGATGATCTCTCCTCCATACATAATTCTCCTTCACTTGTGCATACACTTCTAGGGCATGGAGAAAAACTAGAGATGTCCTAAGTAATTTCTTGGATTTTTCACTCATTTTTTGCTTGTGTGGCAGGTCACTTGCTCTCTGTATATTCTACTGGCTGGCTCAAAATAGAATGTGTTTTATTTTTTTCTGCTGGAAAGAACAGGCACTGACAACTGTCCCCCTTAGGGAATCTGTGACTATTGTTCAGGGTTGCTGCTTGACCTTCACTTGACAGGCCTCGCAGTTGCAGTGCGTTAGAGAAGGAAATGGAGCATTTACTTTTTTTTCATATTGCTCCTCTCACTCTTGTGAAATTTGCTGCAGTCTTGCCAGGGCGAAGCTAGGAAGTGAGTGGTTAAACACTTCACACAAAAAGGAGGAAAAAGTTAAGTCTGGGGACCGCCACTGGTCATGGACATATCAATGACTCCCTGTGAAGAATGTATCAACAAACAAGCAAATACATCTTCATCTTCTGTCTGCAGTGAAAAATAACATCCCAGTAGCTGCATAATCACCCTGTCTGTAACCCTATTTTCTCCCTTCCCTAAACCTTCTCTCCATCATGCTATGTCCCAATCCTTTGGAAGCTGCCTAATGCAGGGATATGGCTGTGTATAAGGAGCCAAGCACGCCTCTGATACAGTTCATAGACTAAATAAGGCAGGAAACAGCTTTCTCGAAATTTTTCAAGATATCAGACATTTCACTGTGAGAAAACAGAAAAAAGATTTATGTCCGACCTAAACAGGCCAAGTTCTCAGCAATTACAACATTCAGCTGAAAGAAGAGTGCTCTTTTTCTCCACTCAAGTAGGGATTGGAGACCCCAGCAAGTTCCCTGACCACAGTTACCACCTGCGCAGAAGAGGAATCTCTCATTCTTTTCCAACAAAGTTTTGCCAATTGTATGAACAGTTATATACATGCTGGTAAGTAAAGCGTCCTGCAGCGTTTAAAGATACGCTGCCCTTTCTGCAGTGAATTGGGATTGCCTTACCCTTCTTTTTTTTGACATTAAAATTCCACCTATGTCATT